GGGTCTTGGGAATGGGGGAGATCTTGGAAGAGTGGGATTCCTTCTGGACCTCAAAGGGAAACAGCCCAAGTTGATTCGAATCGGATCTATTCTGTTCTCCTCTTTCCGTTTGCCACAGCAGCACTGCGCAGGATTCCCCGCGCTGCTCCATGTGCGCCCGCGATTCGCGGTGGGGACTCTCCTGACGCACCCGAACCCCTGTTCAGCAGTTCTCAGGCTGAGCCACCCCGAGACGCCCCACGAGGCAGTCGGCTCCCCTGGGCGCTCACACGCGTCCAGGGCTGCGTCCTGGGGAGGAGGTAAAGGCGCCAGGTCCGGGAAACTTCCTGGCGGGAGGTGGCCGGGGTCTCCGCGCGCCCCAGCCCTCCCGCCGGCCCCGGGGTTTCCCTGAAGTGGTGCCGCAAGGACTGCAGGTCCCCAGCTGCGGACACCGCGCGACCTGCAGCCACGCCTCCCGGCGGGGACCTGCGTCCCGCCCGAGTGCGCGCGGACAGGGCCGCGGGGGCTGGCGGGGCGCGGGGCCCCTTTGCGCCAGGATGCTTTGTTTTCCTGCCGCAGGAGCCCGAGGCGGCCTCTTTCCACCAGACGTGACTCGCCCGCAGCAGTAGCCATGGAAGTCGAGGCGGCTGAAAACGAGAGGGGACCGCTTGGCGCGGCACCTTTTTCGGATGCTGTTTCTCTGCACAGCCCACTCCTTCCCTCCTCCTCGGGGTAAGTGGAATCCAGTTGGCAATAACGAAGGTGGAGAATTGAAACAGTAGCACAAAGGTCTAAAGTGCTAAGTTGTCTCACTTGGCGGGGTGGGGGGGCTTCCCCCTTCCCCCCACCGCCAGCCGCCGGCAGTCCATTCCAAGTACTACGCAGGTCAGGAGTTGGACTTGATTTAGGCCAGTTAGAGGGGGCTAATTAATTGATTATTTTTTTGGTGGACACCCCCCCCCAAAAAAAAACTTGTCTTTGTCTTCATTCTGAGAAAGCAGAATGAAAGCGGAGGTGAGAAAAACCCCGGAGGTGGTGGTGTTGGGGGCGGGGGAGAGGCACCTAGTGACTTAGCAAAGAGATGATCTTAAGGGCCAAGGACCGGTGCAAGTCTTTAACCCGCAGGGGGACCCCACAGCCCTGATCCTGCTCCCTCACCCCAGTAGGCCCACCCCAAACCTCCCCAGCTTCCAAATTATCTTCCTGCTGATGCTTTCCTGGGAAGGTTCTCCAGGTCCCGATGTAACTTTTAAGAAAAACTGCAAACTGTCTTGTACGCAGGAGATGCTCAATAAATGTTGGTTGATTGGCTGAAAGATGTGCCCTAAGGCTGTGTTTTGTGCTTTGGGAAGTTGCCCAGGACAGTGAACTAATTCCCTGATGTAGACCCCAGGGAACAAGGTTGTCCAGCTCACTTGGCATTGGAGGGGCTGGAGTCTTAGGTTATAGAGTGTTTAGATTTCCGTTACCCAGAAGAACCCATGAAGACAGCTTCAGGGGGTCAGATTCATGGGGTCAGGGACCAGATGATGAGCTCACTGGGGTTTATATCCCCCTGTTGTGACCTTGGGCATGTTCCTTCATCTCTCTGAGCTTTGGTCTTCTCACCTGTAAAATGGGACCAGTTAGAGCTTCCTCAGAGGAAAGATGTAGGGAAGATGAGTGGAGAGAAGAGTGAGAAGGTGAGGGCTGTGTCTGATAAATGTTAGTCTTATATCTCCCTCCTCAGAGGATTTGGAGAGAGGGAATCTTTCTCTGTGGACACCTCTCTGACTTGGATGCAGGTTTAAAAAAACAAACAAAACACACACGTGGCATTGCAGTGACTGGGCTGGAGCTTCCTGCCCATGAGCAATTAAGGAGGGGGCAGAAGGGGGCTCTGGGGGCTCTCTCAGGAACTTACAAGCAGTTCCCTTTGGGTTTGGAGCAGAATTGACATACACACTGATGTCTCTGGTGGCATGGCTGGAGAAGCAAAAATTCCTTGTTTGTCTCATTTCCATGTCTCATCCACCCTCTCTGCCTTCTAGTAGAGGGAAGCAAAGTGTGGAAAGAGTCCCAGAGAAGGTGTCTCTGACGCGCCTGGGGAACCTGAGCCTGCCCAAAGGGCATTGTCAGATTGGTACCAGTTTTTCTGAACAGGGTTTGCAGAGGACTCCAGGCTCTGGCCATGGCAGCCCGTAGGGTCAGTGACAAAGCACTTACCAACCCTTCCCACAGATGACGGTGGAGCTCTGTGGATCTTGCCCTGGAACTCAGAAACCTGAAGTGACAGTGGAGAATAGATGCTGAAAATGATGCTGCTGGCCCAAGGCTCCTCAGGAGCCTCAGGGTGCCCCATCACGCAGGCAGTTCAGAGAGCAACTCCTGGCCTAGAGGCTAGGGCCATAGCGGGCAGGCTCAGCGATGAGCCAGGCAGTCACTTTCTCTTCCATAAGTGAAGGCAAGGACCACCTAACCCACCTGGTGGCAGCAGGCAGGAAGCTCCACGAGGGCAGGTCCCGTGCCTGTCACATTCTTTGCTGTCTGGCCAGCACCTAGTGCACTGATGGCGCAGAGAAGGGGTCCAAGATCTATGCAGATGGACAGGGAATGGGCAGTAACTTAAACCACTTCCTCTCCAGCACTGCTTTGTGGAATTCATGCCTTCATTTAGCAAGTATTGCTCCAGCATGTGCTATGCGCAAGGTTCCATTACCAGGCATCCGAAGTAATTTCCAGACATTGTTCATGGGCACTTTCAGTGGCCCATTCAGGACCATCTCAGCCCACTAGGTTCTTCTGGAGGCTGAGGTCCCACGCAAGTCTTTGTGTAGCTTCAGGCAGGGGCAGAGAGAGGCGGGGAGGGGGAATTGCCAGGTTTAGCCTCTTTCTGGGAACAGGTCTGGAGGCCCTTTGCACCTGTACCCGCTGGGCCCTGGAGCTGCCAGGTCTTGGCAACTCCGCTTTCCTCTGGAGGCTCTGCGTCTCTCTCCAGCCTCCTCCCCGGGTCTCGGAACAGCGGCCTCAGCTACTGCAGGTAGCTGGGGAAGGGACAGGGCTGTGCCTGGGGAGCGAGGCCCAGGGAGAGAGAGGCTGATGCTGAGCGGCCCCAGAACAAAAGGCTCATGGCTGGCACGGGTCTCCTCCGAGCGCGCTGGGCATGCAGGTTCGGGGCGCAGGCGGGAGAGCCTGGCGCTGGAGGGGAATGGAGTGAAAAATGAAGTGAGAAAAGAAGGGGGGTGCGCCCAGGGTGGGAGCGGTGACAAGAGGTGACCCCGAAGCAGAGGTCTGCGGCAGGGCCACCGCGGCTCTTCCTCCGCCTCCTGCAGCGCCTTCCAGGCAGCCAAGCGCGTCTCCGGCTGCAA